ACCAGTTTGAAAGGGTATGACATGTTAAATGGGCTTGTTTAGTAACTGCTCACTGACTAAGTTAGTCCTAGTAATTAATTGGTGATCATGTTTGATGTAGTTTTTCTGAGCTATAAATGTGATACTTTCTAAGTTCCAACTCTTTTTGCTGTTAAATTCTTTGTCATTGTTTTCATTTATTTACAGAAAAATAAATAGTGATTGTGTAGGCCTCATAAGTAAATTTAGCACTTAATGATGAATCTGAAGTTTTAGTAGTTGCTGATACTTGCACAAATTTTACAATGGAAAGTGTTGGTGGTGGCAATGCGTTCAATGCTAGCATGCTTTGAAATTTGGCAGCAGTGTTACAATTGGTGATGAAAAGAAGTCTAAAATTCGTATCTCGGAGCTTTCGAGGGAAAGCATCATCAGTATTCACCACCTCCTCTTTGTCAAAGTAGAGAGACAAATACAGTTCTGGCATATCCCCTTCAGTTAAGGTTGTACAAATACAGTTCTGGCATATCCCCTTCAGTTAAGGTTGTAAATTGTTAATGCCTTGTACTGTCTAGTGCTTTTTATTTCTTATTTATATTTAATAGTATGTTTGGACGGTAAAAGCATCTTTCATTCAAATCCTATTTCCAAAATTTATACAATTATACAAGTACACTCCCTTCCCTCCATGAGGTCGAAACAGATCCCACATGATAAATTACATGTTACAGGAGCTTGTACACTCAATATATTTTTTTTTTTTAACTAGTTTTCGCCATCACGAAACAATTTACTCAAGCTCAGCTTTCTTCTTATGAAGCTCATCAAGATAAGGAATTTATTGTATGGGTAAATTAATTTCTTTTTTTCTTTTGGTAGACAAATGACTGGCTGCAAGATTTACATTGATTACCGATACATACCCAGTCACTCCCCTTCAGTTGTACCTAAACAGAACCCAGCAACAACCAACTCCCAAACACACAATAATCCACGCAAGTCACAAATGCAGAAACGCAGATATGAGAATGAAGAACAATCAAGCAAATACTGTTTTATATATATAACTAGGTAGAATTCCAGCTACTACACCCGATAACTCAACCTAAGTTACCAACACAATTCAGTAACGAAATTAACAAGAAGAAAACAAACAAGAACCAAAATTACAGTAACCAGCTAGACTTCGAGGGCCAGCACCTCCCCTCCCAATTTCCCCCTTTTACTTTTTGGATGCCTTGAACATTCTCTGTCATCCTAACTTTAACATCAAACGCATCAAGGCTGACAAGGGTATAGTTCACTGAAACAGCTCAAAACCAACTATATTACTGTTATGTAACTAGTTTATGCAAGTCTTATGATTTCCATTTGTCCCTCTTTCAACAGTTGAGCAACAACCGAGCCAAGGTTATGCTCAATATATGGATGTTTCGATTTCATTAATAGACATAACTTGCTAGGAGTAACAGGCATCTGTTTGGCTTTTATCACCAGAAAAAAAAAAAAATGCAAATCAGGTTAAAACTCACCGAATGTTGTGTTATAAATAACAAAGATACAATTTAAGTTAAAGAAAAATTGGAGCAGTTTTTACCAATTTCAAGAAACCTAGTTATAGAGTTCATTTCCTGTGGCTTACAATCCTCATGCATATAAAGATGGATAATGTAAATAAAAAACAAACAACTTATTGCAACGATGGCAAGCTGCTGAGCATTCAATTCATGCTTCTCAATACTTTTACTTGGAAAGGAAATGAATCAATACTTTTACTTGGAAGGGAAATGAATCAAACTTAAAAATTTCACAAGTACCTAACCCAACGAAGAAGTTGTTTTATGATTGAAAAAGTTGGAAGAAGTTTCAAAAATCTAGGCAGCGTACCCAAGACAATGAGACATGAGGGAATGTCAAACAAAGACTTTATTAACTCAAAAAAGGTTGAAAAACAGAGATGTCTTATATTATCGACATTCTACTCTTCAGACCCAATGATGCATAATTCACAGGCAGAAACAAGGATCAAAATGAAGGTCACAACAAGCTCTACATTGTCAAAGAGATCCATAAAGAACTTATAAAAGAACACACAGTTTGCATGAATTATACCTCTATCAATGAAGCATCGGAGCTTTCGGACTCCTTAGACATGAAGCACAATCTGATTTTCATCATATCATATATATACAACAAATAGTGCGTATCTTCTCTGGCATATCTGTCATCGCAAGTAAAATCAAATTGTTCAGATATGCCAACCCCCAAATGTAAAATACTTTTCAATGTTAGCAAATGCAGATACATTCATTAGCAACAGAAGTATCTGCACTTTATTTTCAAGAAATCAATATCAGAAAAGCAGAAGTTAGAAACAAAAAAGAGAAATAGAAGGCCAAACTTACCTGAGCATCTCATTGGGAAAGGGGCGTAATCTTCAATCTGCATTCTGATATCTGCAATGTGTTGACTGATCAACCTTAGCAGAAAGGAAGGATTGAAAGTAAAATTGAAACATGTAACTCCAAAAAAGTGCTGTAGAAGATACTCAAAACTATTTTTTCCCAATAGATCCTTGAGGCCTGACATAAAGTCAAAGAGAAATTTCACCATCACTTCACTCGTAAATCACAATAACAGCATCGTAATACTTGAAATAAACTAAGAACACATTAGGCAAGGAAAATTTAAAAGGTCAGAAGCATAACAAATAGCATCATCAAAAGGGGAAAAAGAAAAAAACAGACCACGTATTGCGAATACATCAATATGCATAGTTGACAAGAAAACTACTTTAGTAAAATCGACTTGCTACATACATATTCTTTTTTACTGGAGTCAGAAACTAATAATGCTGCTTTTTGAAGCCAAACTTCGACTAAAAAAAAATTCAAATGAATTGAAAATACAAAAGCATAATATGAAACAGAACGTCAGCCTAACTAATTCAGTAGCAAGCAAGTTTGAGCATCATTAATTGCAAATAAGACGATATGTGATATCTTAAATCGAAAATTCCCAATAAAATCAAATATGAGAAATTCAATTTAACTCAAAATAAAATCCTAATGCCAAAGTCTCATTGAAGCCATACAATATCCAGATCTGCTCCATGCATGACCTAATTACATTAAATTATTATCATTAAATAAAGTAGATATGTCATAAAGCCAAAAGGTAGTGTGGTTGAAGAGAAAATCCTTTTTCTGGGTAGGGTATTCGAAAACTTCCCAAAGATATGGGCCCACGTGGAGGCGAAGTTTTCACATATCTACGACAAAATCTTCAGTTCTGGTAGAAATTTGTATCAGGCAAGTCAATCCTTGGAAAGATCGATATTGATTATGCTCCAAATCGACCTAGAGAAAGGTTAAACAAATATTACAACATTTTCATATTTACTTGAGGATCTCCCTTTCTCATGAAGTAGAAACTAATACCGGGTTTATTTCATCCATATTTGCTTAAGGATATCCTCTTGCCATTAAGGAGAAACTAATACCAATATTTTTTTTTTTTTTTTTTTTTTTTTTTTTTTTTAATTCATATTTGCTCAAGGATCTCCTTTTGTCACGAAGTAAAAACTAATGGCCTAATGCCAGCTTTATTTCATGCTAGAGAGAAAAAAATGAAGATGTAGTCAAGTGTGCAGTCCCGTGTCAAGATACTAGACAAATTCCTTACGCATACAAAACTAGCACCAAGAAAAAGTAGACAGTTTATATTATTAACCTGACAGGTAGATCTCAAAGGGTGTTTTTTTTTTTTTTTTTGGTGTTGGTGGGGGTGTGGTGGTGCATTTTGCTAAACACCTCATTGTTTACCATATCACTTAAAGGATTGGGATCTTAACTACACTATATCCCCAAGTATAATAGTTTTTTGCAAATAAAGTTCTCTAGAAATGTAGAAATTAAAGATGCTGCAAAGATGAAACTAATATGGTAAATTTTTTGGCTAAGTACCCCACGTCAATGTACCAATTAAAAATAAATCAGCAGTCAGACTTTACCGCAAACTCATTTACACTCCACAATTTAGCAGCTAACTCCTTCAAATCTTTAACTTCTTCCACAAGCTCGAATGGTGTTTCCTCCAGTGATGTGGGTTTTACAGGTTCAACATCCCCTATATCTTTATCCACATAATCCAAAACAGAGAGACTCTCCTATACCCACAAAGGAACAAAAATAAGCAAAAGTATTATACATATATTCTGGCAAGGATGAAACAATAAATACATATACAGATAGCGTGAGAAATTTTTTAAACTTTGTTATAGTCGAATGAGAATGAGAACAACTATGACATACCATGAAAATCCAAAGTAAAGAAAAGCATCAATATCTAACCATCCTTCCACCAAATAGAAAATGGGAGAAAATTTTAAAACTATTAATCACATAATGGTAGCATTTAAGGAGTGAGTTATAGACTTGAACCAGTAGGGCAAAGAGAATTCGATATAGACATATCAAGTCATCTTTAAAAGATCTAGGCTGTATCCAAGAAACATCATCATACGACTACAAATCAACATCACTTGCATCTACATACTACCTAGCATTATCCAGGATAACATCCCCGCAATAAAGCCAAAACCTAGAGTTTTCTATGGTCACAAAAATTATTTGAATAAATGATTCTGAGAGTGAATAAAGATACTCGGTATTAGAATTCGAAGACTGAAAAGAACATGTTTTTCCTAGACCTCAAAAGCTTCTTCTGTCCAGACACAAATTACTCTCCTAATCAAAGCAAATACTAACGAATAAACCAACTGAAACCCATCTTCATTTCCCCATAAACCAACTGAAACCCATCTTCATTTCCTCTCTCTCCCTGACTTTTCTCAAATTCATCAAAAGACGCATTGTCCAAGACGCCTTCGTTTACATTAACAAGCCAATCGTAGGCATCAAAAGCTTCTTCTGTCCAGACACTAATTACTCTCCTAATCAAATCAAATACTAAACAATAATTCGCAAAAAAGAAATGAAAAAAATAATTAAAAAACTAACCAGAGGATGAAGAAAGCGCTGATTATCCTCACTCCTCTGTAACCAAACATGCTGAAATGGTTGGTTCAAATTATTCATCAAGATACTATACTTCTCTTGACGTCTCTTTATAGAGCATATATGAAACGGCATTTTGCTCTCTCTTTCTTTTCCTTCACTTTCAGATTCACCGAGTCACCCTGCACCTTCACCCTACTCACTGAGTCACCACCACCACTCACCACTCACCACAGACACAGACTCTCCCTTCTTATTCTTCCCCTAAGCCAACTGAAACCCATCTTCATTTCCCCTCTGCTTTCATCCCACCCAGTTTTCATAACGTCGTCGTTTACATTAAATTTCAATAAAATATTAAATATTAAAATGTAAATTATTAATTAAAAGAAAATTTATTAATAATTAAATACATCAAAGGAATGATAAATAAGAAAATGTTCTTTATGTGTTTGTCATTGGAATGATTATTTACTATTTAATTAAAAATATCATACAAAAATAAAAACTGTTGTGTGTGATTTTTCTATTAAGTTCCGAGAAGTTAGAAGCCCGCAGGGATGTAGTTCGACCTAAAATTAGTTCAACTCAGTACTTGTCCGACCCAGTATAAGCTCGTCGAGATATAGCTCAACCCAGCACAAGCTAATTACGACCAACCCTAGCAATTGTTCGACAAATCACAGATAAGCTCAAATCTTGGATATTTCGGAAGAGATCATATCAACAGCAATGATGGCACGATCTTAGCGCATAATCACGAGAATATCATAATTGTAATTTGAATTTGATTGCAATCTCGATAATTTCTCTTTTATCCTTTTTTACAAATTTGTATATAAACCCCCTCCAACGATAAGAGAGGTGTTACCAAATTATTCTAGGCAGAACTTATTGTTATTCTTGTAATCTATCAAAAGCAATAAGTTAACAGTAGATGTAGGCTTAAGTTTTAACTTCCTGAACCACTTTAAAAATTGTTTGTGTTTTTTACATCAAAAGCTTGAATGGTGTTTCCTCTAGTGATGTGGGTTTTACAGGTTCAACATCCCCCAGTGGGACAAAACTTGATCAATGAAAAAAGAGTACAGTGCACATATGTCTAGTACAACAGACAGTACAAAAAACTCTCCCTAATCAATGCTTCTCTTGATCAATGCTCCCCCTCATAATGGTAGAATTAATTTAGTAATTTATTGAGCCGTCGCATACCGATGTTATACACTAGCTTTTCAAATGTTGATGTCGGTAAGGCCTTAATGAATAAATCTACAAGATTATCACTGAAGCGTATTTGTTTGACATCAATCTCTCAATTTTGTTGGAGTTTGTATGTGTAAAAGAATTTCGGTGAAATATGCTTGGTTCCATTCTCCTTTGATATATCCTTCACCGACTTGAGCAATACACACTACATTGTCTTCATTTATAATTGTGGGAGCATCTGAGATACATGGCAATTTGCATGTACTTTCAATATGATGAATGACGGATCTTAACCATACGCATTCTCAGTTGGCTTCGTAGAGCACAAGAATCTCAGAGTGGTTGGAGGAAGTGGCAACCAATGTTTGTTTTGTAAAACGCCATGATATTGCAGTACCATTATAAGTGAAAGCATATCCCGTTTATGAGCGGGCTTTGTGGGGATCAAAAAGGTACCCAATATTTGTATAGCCAACTAATTTAGGATTATTATCGGACTTCCTTAGATAAAATAATCTCAAGTCTTTTGTTCCACTGAGGTAACGAAAGATATGTTTGATCCCATTCCAATGTCAACGAGTTGGTGTAGAGCTAAATCTTGCCAATAGATTCACTGCAAATGCTATGTCTAGTCTCGTACATTGTGCTAAACATAATAATGCACATATTGCGTTTAGATACGGTACTTCATGACCAAGTATCTTTTCATCGTCTTCTTTCCTTCTTAGGATCAAGAGACCAAACTATCATTGGGGCTTTTCAGTATAATTTGATTGATGGAGCAAAATTCCATCTAAACAATGCTCAATCTGCAGGCTGAGACAATACTTTGTTTTTCCCAAATCTTTCATTTCAAATTCTCTTTTTAAGTACTCAACAGCTTTTGTGACCTCTTCAAGAGTCCCTATTAAGTTCATGTCATCAACATATACTACCACAATTGCAAATCCTGATTCTGACCTTTTTATAAAGACACACGTGCATACAGGATCATTGATGAATCCTTCCTTAATAAGATATTTACTAAGATGATTATACCACATTCGTCCTGATTGTTTCAACCCATATGACAATCTTTGCAATTTTATTGAATACATGTTCCTTTTATTTGCTTTTGGCACTTTAAATCCTTCAGGGATTTTCATATAGATATCAGTATCTAGTGTATCATATAAATACGCAGTGACAATGTCCATGAGACGCATATTGAGTCCTTCTGAGACTAATAAACCAATCAAGTGTCGAAATCTGATAGCATCCATCACTGGTGAATACGTCTCATCAAAGTCAATTCTAGGTTTCTGCAGGAAACCTTGAGCCACTAGTCTAGCCTTATACCTAGCAATCTCATTTTTCTCATTTCGTTTCCTTCTGAATACCCACTTGTACCCTACGGGTTTCACCTTTTCAGGCGTTTGGACTATAGTTCCAAATACATTACGTTTAGCTAAGGAGGTTAATTCTACTTGAATTGCCTCTTCCCATTTTGGTCAATCATGTCTCTTTTGACATTCATCAACAAAACATAGCTCAAACTCATCATTCATAACTTTAGTAGCTACTGCATATGAAAATATGTTATCAACAATAGTTGTTTCAAGATTTCACATTTCTTTACTATAAGCATAGTTTATAGAAATTTCTTCATTTCTATGTTCTTGCATTCCTTCAGGGATTCGTTCCTCTTTAGGGGTTTGTATCCGTTTAGGGATTGTTAACTCTTTTGGAGTTAGTTTAGGAGATGTGGAATTGTCAATTATTCCAACATTGTCAATATTGGCACCTATTTGATTTTGTCATTTCGATTTCTAGGAACAATATCCTTGGCTCCAATAGGCCTACCATGCTTATGGCGTGTAACAGATGAATCAATTACTGCCCGCATAGACTGTTCATTAGTAACATCAATCCTTACTGGTGTATTCATAGCAGGAATATATGATTTCGTTATTTTTGTTGCATCTGTAAATGCATCAGGCATTTGGTTGGCAATATTTTGCAAATATGTTATTCTTTGCACTTCAATTTCAGATTGAGATGTACGAGGGTCTAAATGAGACATAGAATTTACTTTCCAAGAAATTTTAGGTCTTACTTTAGGAGGCTTTACCTTTCCCCTTAAAAGAGGAAATATTGTCTCATCAAAATGGCAATCTGCAAAACGTGCAGTAAACCGATCACCCATCAGGGGCCAAGATATCTAATGATGGATGGCGACTCATAGCCAACATATATTCCCAAATGACGTCGGGGTCCCGTATTGGTGCGTTGAGGGGGTGCAATTAGAACTTGCACAGCATAACCAAAAGTTCTTAAATGGGATATATTAGGTTGCTGTCCAAATACAAGTTGTATTGGAGAGTATTGATGATATGCAGTGGGTCTTAGGCGAATTAACATTGTAGCATGTAAAACAGCATGAGCCCAGACAAAAATCAGTAATTGCGTATATAGCAGCAAAGTTCTCACAATTAATTGGATACGCTTTATAAATGACTCTGTCATACCATTCTAGGTATGTACATATGGTACTGGGTGCTCAACATCAATTCCCATTGCCGTACAATAGTCATCAAATGTCTTTGAGGTAAACTCAGTAACATTGTCCAGACGTATTGCTTTAATTGGGTAATTTGGAAAGTGTGCCCGTAATCTGATAATTTGTGCCAGCAATCTAGCAAAGGCAATATTACGGGTTGATAGTAGAAAGTCACACAAAACAATTCAATTGCTTATATCCCACAGCCATCCACTCCTTGTTTTGTTGTAATCACCATTGTGCATTGTGTTGTCCTGTTGTTGTCTCTGTTACGATTCTCAAGAAATTTGAAATCACACATAAGCTCTGTCTTACCCACAAACATATGTAAACAATCAAATATCACTTACAGAAGCAAATTTGTTCTTCTCATCATCCTTGTGACTAATTAAATCATGAAATGCAGCTATAAAACTGTCCTAATATCTTTACCAAATTGATTGCTGCTATGCGTGAACAATTCTAATCCCATTATGTTTAGACTAATATTGATATGCTGGTGATATCTTAAGTTTTTCAAGGATTTGTTTGGACTGCTTTGAACATTGAGTGGTTTGATATCTCTACACTGCAGGTAGCTCAGAAACTTCCGGGAAGCTCATCCAAAAGATCTTGAGCTACAGAAATTTGTCCTGTCGAAAACACACAGCAGGTAAGTATTTTTAGTTAATGCATTTTACCTTATACACAAAAGGTGAATTATTTCATGCATTAAAACAATGGTAGCAGAAAGAACACAAAGTCTTACTCATAGCCAGATCATATTAATTAATGATAAATCATATGATACATCTATGTGGGAATCAATAAACTCCTAAGCATACAGCAGCTACAGAATTACAATTGGTAATTATCTAAATATCTATCAACCTAAAACGTTATATGATTATATAGAAATATTTATTTTACTTTCAATCTTCAATGATAAAAACTGCAATCAGTTCGTAGTTCAGAGTCACCATGCTTTCACTTTCGATATATTTTGCATAGGATTACAGAATGTCACAGTTTTTAAAACTGATTCGGGTCAAACATCAAGGAATAAGACCTCTGTGTAGTTTGTGAGGCATCGCAGTTCATGTTCCTGTGCTTTAAGTCGGACGATAAAAGTGCCTTCGCTTTTCATCTCCATTTTTCTGCTTTTGTAATTTTCTTAATTCATTGTGATGTTGCAATTATCAGTTCAATTTTTTTTTTCAAAGATAAACTATCATCAATTTGGTTTCAGACTATTAGAGGGCCTTCAGTTCATCCTCATTGTTCTGCTTTTATCTTTTCCTCCATGGTGAGGTTGCTTCTTTGAAAGTGTTACGGCAGTCTATTTCCCCCGTTTTGTCATTTCAGGTTTAATACTGGAAAGTTCCTTCACATTTTCTAGTTGACGCTGAAATGTTTAACCGTTTGATCCTGAAATTCCCTGAAATGAGGGAGGGACTGACCAACAATTTGTGAAGAAGCCACGTTGATGATCTCCTCAAATTATTTGCAGATAACCTTGTAGTTCACATTCTGGGACAGCATATCTGAAGAACATAGCCAAAATACTCATTATTCTTACTGCTAATCTAATTATCCAATTATTCGGTCGTAAAAATTCTGTCCTAATTCCTTTACTTTAATGCTACCCTATGCAAACAGTTTGATCATTGATTCTTTGATCAGCAATTCCAGATAAGATGATTTATCTAAGGAGATGTTTTTTGAATGGTAAGAAGAAATCATCCAATTGTAAAGAAAATCACAGAGAATCACGGCATATTCACCATCTATTTTATCACAGATGATTGAAGATTATTACATAACTATGTACAAATTTTATAATTAAAGCTAAAAATAAAAGCAATTTGGGTCTTCTTATAGTGAAAATGTAAGCGAAAAAATTATTCTCATTATGAAGAGAGGACGAGAAATATACTAGGATGCTCACAAAGACTAAATATTTGAAGCAAATGCTCTTGCCCAAGAACGTATATAAACAATCAAATATTATTAACAGAAACAAATTTCATTGTCTAATCAAATTATCAATGTATCCATCCTAAATTTTTTACCATCTAAATTGCTACTACATATGAACAGTGCAATCCTCTGATTTTGGAGTTTTATAAAGCAGGTGTTTGGGCCCCGTGGCTTGATATCACTACATTGCATGTAACTCAAAAACTATCCAGACAGCTCTTCTAAAAGTGCTTGAACAGCAGAAATTTGTCCTTCTGTACAAAACACAATCAAGTTGTTAACTAAAGCATTATACGTTATACCTTGAGAAGAAATTTTTGTTCAAGCTCACAAATTAGAATCCAGAGTCTTATATTATCAAAACAATCTAATGGAGTAACCAAGCAACGTTTGTAACAAGTTTTGCACTTGAAAAGCATGTAAAAAGTAATAATGGACTATTTAAGATGAGAGAGGTGCAATATGCACTCACTTTGAACTTCTCGCATAGGAAAAAATTGTACAACAACTCGCGTAGCTACCCAACCTGTATAACTTTCTGATCGGTTGCCATTATCAGCATCAAGAATCTGAAAATAAGTAATTGCTTAGACAATGTATAGTAAACTAAATATTCCATGGGGTTGGTTGAGTTAGAAGAACAACGGTGTAATAAGTTATAACTACATTTACCGTTATAATGAGCCACACAAAAGGAAAACTGATAAGTTAGATTTTAGTTAATTTTTACAAAAGTAAAAAAATAAATAAAAATGAAATCACCACTGTCCCTCTTCAAGACTTACTTTATCAACAAAACCCACACAGACGGTTCTTCACAATCCTTTACCTCTATCCTCCATACTCAGAAATAAAAAACAAACCTGAATTGATCAAGGAGAGATGGATGATTGAGAGAGGGAGGTGGCGGTAGTGGGTGAGGAAGGGAGAGAGGGGCTAACAATTGTCAGAGATGGAGGAAGGAGCGGCAGATGTGGCTGAGGGATGGACACAGGGCTGATGATTGTCTAAAGTAACAGAAAATGTCTGACATCTGACAAACGGTAAAAGGTTCTGCATAATTCCTAGTACCTAAAGAGGTTTTTCATGTTTGACCAAACCTCAAAGTGTGTCAAGTGATAATTCCATATTAAATATAAGCTTTTCCTGTTTGGCGACTCATCATGCAATTGCAAGTTAGACAGACTTGTAAACACAGGAAACCTTTTTTTTTTTTTGGGGGGGGGGGGGGGGGGGGGGGGGGGGGTGTTTTAAGTGGAGTGTAAATAGCACATGTATCCGTTGAACAAGGGGATCCTTCAAAGTAAAAATGCCACGTGATATATCTAGGAAAATACTCAAAAAAATAAAAAAATTAACTTTGAGTACATGTTGTTATCCCCAATTTGGAGGCCTTGAAACTGAATGGAACTCATGAGAAATGAGGGTGATTAATCATTAATGTGTCTGTGATTTTAGAGATGCAGAGTGCAAAGAGATATAATAATAATTAAGTGAAATATATTATATATATAGATTATTGAAATTTGTTGATAAGATGTATTTAGAAAGAGGTCTAATAAGATAATAGGTATAGGACCAAAGCATTAAAAAAAAAAAATGCAACTATTATATATTAACATTGATGCAACACATAAAACTAAATATAAACTCATACGACAAAAGGAATATAGATGGTAGGCATGGCAATGTTCCCCGAGATTTCGGGGACCCGTCCCGCCCCGCCCCATGTGGGGCTGGGAAGCCCCGGTTTTTTTGGGGATAGGGGCGGGGGTGGGGGGTGTTTTAATCCCCGTCCTCGGGGATGGGGCAGGGGTGGGCGATACCTTTCCCCCGGCCCGCCCCGTATATAATACATAAAATTAAAAAAATGTATATATATATTTACTTTTCACTAATATCCTTATATTTCACCTAATTACACAATTATCCTTCCTATATAAACCCATATTTTTCTAATTCCCTCACCCTAAACAATTGAACAAGAACAAACCTTGACCCATATTTATGTATAATTAATTATGTTTAAACGATTAATTTAAGTGTTTGTCATGTGGACGAGAATTAACTATTGTGTTTAGTAATGCTCAAATTAATTTATGTTTATATAAAATTAACGGGGCGGAGACGGGCCTCCAAAATTCCCCTTTGGGGCGGGGAAGGGGAATTCTTGTCATCCCCGTAACGGGGATGGGGCAGGGGTGGGGAATGATTTTGAGGGTGGGGATGGATACGGTGAATGAGATCCCCGCCCCGCCCCGCCCCGCCCCATTGCCATGCCTAATAGATGGTGACCATCCTGGGAAATAAATGAGTATTGAGATTTGAGAGCCATACATATAATGAGCTTGTAAATTTAAGAACGCTGAAACTGAAGCTTAATTCTATTATTTAGTCACAGGAATTACAATGGTTCAAGAATGTTGAATTCTTATGTTTGGACAAATTGCATGGTATCAAGAATATTCTTTATGAATCAGACATAGAAGGTTTTTCACGATTGAAAAATCTTCATGTACACAATATTCCTGGCGTACCTCATGATGCGTTTCCTGCCTTTTCCCTTTTGGAGTCTCTAACTCTTTACAATTTGGTCAACCCCCAACAAGGTCTTTCTGCAACATAAAAATCATAGAAATAAAAAAGCTGCCTTCAACAACTTCAAAGAATCAGAGTGGTAGATTGCAAGAACATGAAAGAGATTCTTGCTATGGAAAGAGAAGATCATGCCAACAACAATGAAGTAGTCGATAAGATTGACTTACGTCAACTACACTTCTTGACTATGATGGATCTTCCAAGGATTGCAAGCTTCTTCACTATGAGAAAATATTTCACTAGGAAATTTTCAGAGATTTAATAATTCGGGAAAACTCGAACTATGCATATATTGAGTAGACTTCAAACTAAACTCTTGAATTTCTAGAAGTAACATTTTAATGATGGATGGATAAACTTAAATTGCCAGAAACTTTTAGTAACTCAATTGTTATTGCCCAAGAACGTATGTAAACAATCAAATTATCACTAATAAAAAACAAAATTTCATCATCTCATCATTATTTACAGTTAATCAAATCATTGATGAAGCTTCAAAAGCTTCACCCTAATATCTATACCATCAATTGCTACTTCATATGAACAGTTAATCCTAACATCTTTACCCGATTTTGGAATTTTGGTGGTATTTAAATTTTATAAAGCAGGTGTTTGGGCCGCGTGAAGATTGAGTGGTTTGACATCTCTAGATCGCATGTAACCCAGAAACAGTCCAGGCAGCTCTTCCAGAAGTGCTTGAACAACAGAAATCTGGCCTCCTGTACAAAACACAATCAAGTTGTTAGTTAAAGCACTATACATTATGCAATGAGAAGAAATTTTTGTTCAAGTATACCACAAATCAGAACTAAGAGTCTTATACTATGGACACAATCTAATGAAAGTAGCCAAAAAACTTTTGCAACAAGTTCTGCACTTGAAAAACATGTAAAAAGCAATAATGGATTAATTTTAAGATGAGGGAGGTGCAATATGCACTCACTTTGAACTTCTCGCATAGGAACAAATTGTACAATGTCTCGTGTAGCTACACGACCTGTAGAGCTTTCTAACCAGTTGCCATTATCAGCATCCAGAATCTGAAAATAAGTAATTGATTAGACCACATATACTAAACTAAATCTTCTATAGGGTTGAGTTAGGGGTTGAGTTAGGAGAACAACAGTGTACCTCCATTTGTGTAAAATCAGCACCTCCCACTCCCACATTAAGAATTGAAGGGGAAGATCAGATGCTCTCACCAAAGCATCTTTGGTTTCTTGAAGATCTGTCAGAACTCCATCCTAGAAAAGGTTACAAATTGATTAATCACACAGATAGAATGAACGAAGAAAAAGAAAACTATAAGAAGAAGTTACAACTATATTTACCGTTATAATGAGCAAGACAAAATACTTGCTACTGTCATGTGAGAGGGACTGACCAGTAATTTGTGCAGCCATGTTTATCACCTGGCCAAACAGAGTAGGTCCTGCCAGAGAAACATTGTGGAGAGCATTCGCATAGGCAGCCATGATGCCTTCAACTCCTTCAACCTGTTAAGGAATCAGATGTTCTTGAAAATGGAAAAGCAAATTCAGATGTAAATTTGTTTGGACAGATCCATTGATGGCGTTTCTGGGATTAAAGAGCATATGGAAGGGAATCCTTGGAAACAAGCAACACCAACTTGGAGCAGTTTTTACCAATTTCAAGAAGAGTTTTGATAGGTAAAATATAACCAGTACGTTCATCCTCTGCACCAGCAACAGCATCTCGCCATTGACAATAGCCCTGCAAACCATTTAAGTTGGGACCTATAAGAAAATGAAGTAGACATGTATACACAAATACATTATAACCATATAAGTAGATTATAATAAAGTGTCAATCAGTTGGTCTCCCAAGTATCATCAAATCAACTTAAAATGTAAAAGTATAATCCTTGAGACAACCATACAGATGACTATGGTGCCATTTGAGGCTTGTCAAAGATGTCAAAGATAAGTCTCTGTATTGTAGATAGTTCATTTCCTGGGGCTTACAATCCTCATGCATATAAGATGGTTAATGTAAATAAAAAACAAACAACAACTTACTGCAACAATGGCAAGCTGCTGAGCATTCTATTCAGGCCCCTGCAACCTATTTCAACGTATGATTAGTTTCTGCTCAAAAAAATGATACATAAGAGATGTAGATAAAATTTTACAAAGAAAGGATAACAAGGAATAATTTTTAATAAGAGATGTTAAATACAAGCAGGTGGCTGTCACCTTAAACTGAGACGATAAGGAACTAACCCATATATATATATAGAGATGAATTCTCTGTCAGAAGCTCTTTTTAATACAGCTGCATGCATATATCATAACTACGCTTGTAGACCTGTGTGTAAGTCAAATTTGCTCAACATGATGAAATTATGGTCAATAATTATTGAAACAATCATTTTCTCAAAAATCTAGGCAGTGTACCCAAGACAATGCGACATGAGGGAATGTCAAACAAAGACTTCATTTACTCTCTTCAGATTCAATGATGCATAATTCACAAGCAGAAACAAGGATCAAAATGAAGGCAAAACAAGCTCTACATTGTCAAAGAGATCCATAAGGAACTTATAAAAGAACACACAGTTTGCGTGAATTATACCTCTATCAATGAAGCATCAGAGGTTTCAGACTCCTTAGACATGGAAACAATTTGATTTTCATCATATCATATACGTACAACAAATAGTGTGTATCTTCTATTCTTCTCTGACATATCTGTCATCGCAAGTAAAATCAAATTGTTCAGATATGCCAACCTCCAAATGTAAAATACTTTTCAATGTTAGCAAATGGAGATAAATTCATTACCAACAGGAGTATCTGCACTTTATTTTCAAGAAATCAATATCAGAAAAACAGAAGTTAGAAACGAAAAATAGAAATAGAAAGCCAAACTTACCTCAGCATCTCATTGGGAAGGAGGAGTAATCTCCAATCTGCATCCTGATATCTGCAATGAGTTAACTGATCAACCTTAGCAGAAAGGAAGGATTGAAACATAAAATATAGAAAAAGGAAAAGAAACCAAACTATGGAGAGAATCAGAAGTAAATTAAAGGACCCACTCTTTGTTGGCAGTAACTCCACAAAAGTGCTGTAGAAGATACTCCAAACTATTTCTCTCCAATTTCAAGACCCTTGAGGCCTGACATAAAGTCAAATAGAAATTTCACCATCAATTCAATCACAAATCACAATATCAGCATTACTTAAAATAAGCTAAGAACATATTAGGCAAGGAAAATATAAAAGATCAGAAGCATAACAAATAACATCATCAAAAGGGGACAAAAACAGACCAAGTATTGTGAATACATCAATATGCATAGTCCACATGAAAAACTAAAAACTACTTTAGTAAAATCGACTTGCTACATACAGATTATTTCTTACTGGAGTCAGAAACTAATAAATGCTCCTTTTTGAAGCCAAACTTTGACTGAAAAAAAAAAAAAAAATTGAAATGAATTGAAAATACGAAAGCATAATATGAAACAGAGCGTCAGCCTAACTAATTCATTAGCAAGCAAGTTTGAGCATCATTAATTGCAAATAAGACCATATGTGATATCTTAAATCCAAAATTCCCGATAAAATCTAATATGAGAAATTCAATTTAACTCAAAATAAAATCCTAATTTTCAAAGTAGTCGATTCAAAGCGCAAACCTGTCAAGTATCAAACATATTGCAAATATATATGCCAAGGTCTCATTGAAGCGATACAATATCCAGATCTGCTCCATGCGCGACCTATTTACATTAAATATTATCATTAAATAAAGTAGATATGTCATAAAGCCAAAAGAGTCGTGTGGTTGAAGAGAAAAACCACTTTCTTGGTAGGGTCTTAACTTCCTGAAGATATGGGCCCACATGGACGCAAAGTTTTCATCTATATACCACAAAATCTTCAGTTCTGGTAGAAATTTGCATCAGGCAAGTCAATCCTTGGAAAGTAGAAAAAGTAGACAGTTTATACTATTAACCCAACAGAAGGAGGGGGGGGGGGGGGGGCGGCGCTGTGTCGTGGTTGGGTCTGGGGTGGTGCAGTTTGCTGAAAACCTCATTGTGCACCATATCACTTAAAGGATTCGGATCTTAACTACACTTTATCCCCTGAGTATAATAGTTTTGTGCAAACACAGTTCTCTACAAATGTAGAAATTAAAGATGCTGCAAAGACTATTATGGTAAAATCTTTGGCTAAGTACCCCACGTCAATGTACCAATTAAAAATAAATCAGCAGTCAAGACTTTACCGCAAATTCATTTACACTCCACAATTTAGCAGCTATGACATACTATGAAAATCCAAACAAGTAAAAAAAAGCATCAACATCTAACCATCCTTCCACTAAATAGAAAATGGGAGAAAATTTTAAAACTATTAATCACATAGTGGTAGCATTTGAGGAGTGACTTATAGACATGAACCAGTAGGGCAAAGAGAATTCGATATAGACATATCAAGTCATCTTTTGAAAGATCTTGGCTGTATCCAAGAAACGTCATCATAAGACTACAAATCAACATCACTTGCATCTACATACTACCTAGCATAGTAGCATTATCCAGGATGACATCCCCGCAATAAAGCCAAAACCTACAGTTTTCTATAATAACAAAAATTATTTGAATAAATTATTCTGAGAGTGAATAAAGCTAGTCGGTATTAGAATTCAAAGACTGAAAATAACATGTTTTTCGTAGACCTCAAAAGCTTCTTCTGTCCAGACACTGATTACTGTCCTAATCAAATCAAATACTAAACAATAATTCGCAAAAAAGAAATGAAAAAATAATAAAAAAACTAACCAGAGAATGGAGAAAGCGGTGATTATCCTCACTCCTCTGTAATCAAACATGCTGAAATGGCTGGTTCAAATTATTCACCAAGATATTATACTTCTCTTGAGGTTTCTTTATAGTGGGTATATGAAACGGCACTTTAGCTCTCTCTTTCTTTTCCTTTACTTTCACATTCACCGAGTCTCCCTGCACCTTCATCCGACTCACTGAGTCACCACCACCACTCACCACAGAGACAGACTCTCCCTTCTTATTCTTCCCATAAACCAACTGAAACCCATCTTCATTTCCTCCCTCTCCTTTCTTCTTACCCTTTCTCTTCTCAAATTCATCAAAGGACGACTAGTCCGAACGTCGTGGTTTACATTAACTAGCCAATCGACAACTAATCATAGAAAATTCATTTACTTTAATTTGCCTCTCAAAATGAATTTTCTACATAAATTTTTTTTAAAGTTAATTGGAGATTTGGAGTTGGATGGATTTTAAATTTCATAGAAATATTAAATATTAAAAGGTAAATTATTAATTAAGAGAATTTTTTTTAATAATTAAATACGATAAATAAGAAAAGGTTCTTTATGTGTTTGTCATTGGAATGATTATTTACTTTTTAATTAGAAATATTATAAAAAAACAAACACCTTTAAGAATATATTAATTTAAATTTCAAATAAAACCATAATATTAAGAAGTCAAATATAGTTGAAATATCCGAAAGGATTAAAGTTTTTTCTAATCTTTGTAGAAAATATATAATGATGAATAATCCAAAAAATTTCTTTTTAAGTTTCATTACTAAAGGTTTTAGTATTAAGTTAAGAGAATGGATAAATAAGACTAGAAGTAAGACTCCTATATGAAAGTAAAAGCAATAAGAAAAAAAAGGTAATATAGAAAGGTTTAAAATTAATTTATAATAATATATAAAATTAAATTAAACTAAGATATTAATTCTTTTTTTTTAAAGGCTTGTTTAAGCCTCTACTAGTAAGTTAGAAATATAGTAAGTGATCCCAATATTTTAAGATATGATAAATAACCCTAAGGTTCGAACTCAAAAAATTAATAATGAAAACAAACATTCTTGATTATAAGATCAACCTCTTAGGGGGCGTTTGGTTCAGGAATGTTAGATTACTGGGAATGTTAGATTACTGGAAATGTTGGATTACTGGAAAGATAGATTACCTTGGAAGATTACTGGGAATCTTTAAGAAAATATGTTTGGTTAGTTGGTGGGTATGTTATATTAATATGTTTGGTTATGGGGAATAAATTGGTGAGTATGTTTTTAAATTACTAAATTGTCCCCCTTTTAAATATTAATATAATATTATTTTTATTATTAATTTTTGAATAATTTCTTTTAACCCTCAATATTTCAGATTTAGCTAAAACACCCCCGCTTATATAAAACTTTAATTTATGACAAAATTACCCCCACCTTCTGCCGCCACCACCGGAAAATCGCTGGAGTCCCTAAAAAAGAAGGAAATTATGTGGGAGGCCTCGCTATGACCGTTTTCGGCCAGATCACTGGCCATTATTGGCCAGATCTGGACCAGATCTGGCCGTTAACGACCAGATCTATTCCAGCCAGAATACATCTGGCCGTTAACGGCCATGTCTGTGGCCGTTAACGGGCAGATCTAGCCCAGACCTGGCCATTAATGGCTAGGGATCTAGCCGTTAACAGCTAGATCTGGCCTAATGGTCGAAAACGGCGATATCGAAGCGTCCCGGAGCCTCCCACAGAATTTTCTTCTTTTTTAGGGACTCCAGCGATTTTCCGGCGGTGGTCCGTGGTGATTGGCCCGCTGTCGGCGGTGGTGACTGGGTGGTAGTGGTGATCTATAAATAATTTTAAATATAAGGGCATTATTATCCAAAATTTTAATTAAACAAGGGTAAAATTGAAATAGGATATTAATGTAAATTTGTTTTAAAGTAGGGGTATTATTGTCCAAAATTTTTATTAATAAGGGATAAAATTGTAACAAAAAAAGATAACCTTGGTAATCTCAGGATACCTAAGAAAATAGAAGTAATCAGATTACTTCTGATATTACCAATAGTAACCACTATTGGTATTTAAAGATTACCAATATCTTATATTACTTGACAATTAAACATGGTAATTAAGTAATATAAGATGATATTACTCCAGTAATCCTACTTAACCCCCAACGAAACGCCCCTTAGAGTTATATTGTAATGGCTTTCATCCAAAGATAACTTTCTTCCACTGAATGGCTTGCCACAATCGTATAACTTTTTGCCTTGGAATAAGCTTGGGGCCATGGCTCAAATTAAAGAAGGTGAATTATTATTATTATTATTGAGTGATTTGGAATTTTAACTCCAATCTGATTTTTATTTGATTGATTTATAGGGTAGGAACGGACAACATGATGACATGGCAGTGCCAATTTCCATAAAACTTTTCTTGCAAATGCAAAGAAATACTCCCATGTGGAGAGGACTATAGCAATTTCCTTGGTTGCAGTCCCTGTAGGCCAATGCTGTCCAGTGCTGCAAAACAAACGCTCAAGAGTGTTTTTACCTTTCTACCCTTGAAAAGCTTTAAAATGATAGATTATAAATAATTGATTAAATCCTAGTTGCAATATTGACATAATGAAATATATATACAATCAAATTAATTTAATTAATTGAGTCGTAATTACATTAAAATAAATGAGAATTGATATTGAATATTAATTAAATCCTAATTTCCCTAACACATGTATTAAACCAGTTCTTTAATATTCATTCAGGAGAAACAAAACCTAGGTGAAGGAAAAGACAATGACTTTGGATTAAAGAAAATTTTACAAAATTTATTAAAGAAAATATCTTCCAGGCCTAAAAAATTTATAAAATTTATAAATTTTACTCCTAAAAAATATTAAAAACCCCCTACAAAATTTTATTTCGCCCTCAAAATATAAAAAAAAAAAATCAAGGGGGAAAAATAAATTCTCCAGACCAATAGGACTGGTCCTAGGCCCATAGGACCGGTCCAGGTCCTAGAGTTTCTCATGGGCCTGGGATCGATCCCAGGCCCATGAGCGATTGGTCTCATTTGGGACCAGTCCCAAATGGGTCTAGGTTTGAGCCTGCTTGGGATCAGTCCTTGCCTAGCTCTAGGACGAAGATATACCACTTCACCAAAGGTCAATGGTGGAGACTCAAATCTGGCCTTAGCATGTTAAGTCTAATTCGGAGAAATTGACATTAAGTGGAAAGGAGATCATACCTATATCGCAAGAGCGGTTCCAAATGATGAGGTTTGTCAAGTGAAAGTTTTGAGGTGATTAAGAATGAATCAACAAACATTCCAATTGATAAAATCTTAAAATACTCGTATTGAGAGTAAGTCCATATCAAGAGACGTTCTTGTGTAGAGAGGACAAGAAACATTCTGGGATGCTCACATAGGTAAAAGAGTTGCAGCTTTGGAGACTCTTTGGTTTGAAGTACACGTAGAAACAAAACTCTCATTAGCACTCAATTCTTCAAAATCTTGAAATGCTATATGTGTAATATTGTCACAATTTAATTAATCTTGTGCCATCTCTAGCATCCTTTGAAAATCTAACAACTCTGGATGTACGGTGGTGAGATGGATTGATAAACTTAATATCATCCTCAACAATCAAAAGTCTAGTGAAACTTGAGAAATTGGATGTAGGACATTGTGAAAGGATGATTGAAATAGTAGCTAAATGTGGGAGATGTTGAAAAAGGTAAACTTGTTTTTAGTAAATTTCACGTACAGAAACGATTTTCTTCTTCTCATCATCCTTATGACTAATTAAATCATGAAATGCAGCTATAAAACTGTCCTCATTTCTTTACCAAATTGATTGCTACTATACGTTAACAATTGTTATCCCACCATGTTTAAACTAATTTTGAAATATTGATACATATCTAAAGATTTTCAAGGATTTGATTGGACCGCTTTGAACATAGAGTGGTTTGATATCTCTACACTGCAGGTAGCTCAGAAACTTCCAGGCAGCTCATCCAACAGTGGTAGCAGATAGAACAGTAAGTCTTACTCATAGCCAGATCATTAATTAATGATAAATCATGTGATACATCTATGTGGGAATCAATAAACTCCTAAGTGTACAGCAGCTACAATATTACAATTGGTAATTGTCTAAATATATATACGTTGATGCTTGATTTTGATACTAACTATTCGCACGTGAAAAATAGTAAGCGGGTTTAGAAGTCACACATGATTATGGAAGTATTTTGTTTAATTAGTAAAGAGTGAAGAACAATATTTAAAGTGGTTCGGATGCTCAAAGACGAATCTTACGTCCACTGATATTGTATTAATGAGAATAAAGTTAGGTCGTGTTTAGCGAGCTAAGCTACAACTTAAAAAATACAAGAGAGAGAGAGAGAGAGTATGCTATTCTAGAGTGAAATCAGTCAATCCTGCAAATAAGAGAGAATGCCTCTATTTATAGTGAGATGAGTTAAGGTAATGATTACTGAATCTGCGAGTGAGGTGGATGCCATGCAAATTCTTCTCTGCGTCTCATTGCTTATCTGCACGAGCGATTTCCTCAACTTGTACAGAGATTGGATACGTTGACCATTTCCAACCATTTGCCAACCTAGCGTATACCCATTACACTGACATGAGCATGCCACTCACGTCATCACGCAACGTGGCTGCATCTGAACGGTCGTAGAATATTCTTAAGTTCTGACCACCCCATACTGACAAGACTCTGCATCAACCCTATTTTTTCATGCATAACAATATATCACCCTAAACGTCATATGATTATATAGAAATATTTATTTTATTCAATTTTCAATTTTCTTCAATGATAAAACTATAATCAGTTTGTTGTTCAGAGTCATTCTCCACTGATCATGCTTTCACTTTCGATATATTTTGCATATGGTTACAGAGTGTCACAGTGATTAAAACTGATTCGAGTCAAACTTCAAGGAATAAGGCCTCTATGTAGTTTGAGGCAAAGCAGTTTATATTATTTAAAATTAGTTTATAATAATATAAAGTGATATTAAGCTAACCTGTTAGTTTTTTTTTTACAAAAGGCTTGCCCCAGCCTCTGCTGATAACTATAACAATATAATTTGAGTATTTTTGGATATGACTATTTAAGATGCAAGTTATAAAAAGAAAAAAATTAAAAAAAAAAGGTAGAAGACTTAGAATATTAATTTGAAGTGATGCATCAATCTTGCCCAATGACAATTAAGAAAAAGCATTGAGTGTGTATATTTTATATAAAAAAATATATATTAAAAAGATTAGAAGAGTAGATTTTGTACATTACGAGGAGAGAGAGAGAGAGAGAGAGAGAGAGGCTTAAGCCCCCAACTTAGTAATTGATAGTTGATAATTGTATACTAATAAACATTTTTTACAAAATTTGTTTTACAACTTTAATATGGTGATTCGTAATTGATCAATTTATAATTAATTAGTAATATTTATACAGAATTTATGTGAGATCTGTTATAAATTAACCAATTATGAGTTATTATATTAAGATTACGAAAGAAAGTTTGTGAAAAAGAGTTTTGGTGATGTATTTTTTTTTTTTTTTTTAATTTCTTTTTTTTTTCAACAGAGCTCCACCTAAGGTAGGCTTCTGATTTTGTCGTATTCTCTGGAGCGTGTGTACTAATGAACCGTGATATGAACACTTGTCTCTCTCAGAGTGCAAAATTATTTAAGGTCCCACATTCACACAATTCCCTCAAATCAAAAGTCTTATTCTCAAAACCAATTGATACGATGATTGATGAACACTCTTTTGTGGGACCATCTTTTTGGCCCCCCTCTAGCTCTCTGCAATCGACACGTGCTATATTCAGTTTGCTTTAGGGAGTGATTTATAGATTTTTCTTTAACATATCAAGTGGTGGCTAATGGTGGATCCTCTGCCGTTAATTTGTTTGATGAAAATTGAAAAAGATTCACAGCATCATGAGGATACAAACAAATGAAGTGGTAGGCTACTTTATCGAGGAGTTGGGGATAATCAGAACCGTTGATACAAATATATAATCCTAAGATTATTTAGATATGAGAATTTATCAAAGATAGACATGTATGTATTAGGATTAACAAAGGTCAAAATTGTAATTGGATTCATTTATATTTTTATGTTTCTGTCAGCAGTTGGGAATATACATTGTTTTTTGTCCTTTTGCGTGTAAAAAGTTGCATTCCTTAGGGCATTTTTGCGTGTAGAAGATGGAAAGGAAAAAAAGCTCAAATATGCTTTTGCTTTTTTATATTCTCTTCTTTCAATATATTTTTTATTGGAATGTAAGGAGGATCGCTCGAGGAATATAACTTTAATGTAAGACTATATTTTCAAATAGATAAAAGTTTTACTCCAAGAATGGAATCATTTATCACCTTGCCTTATGAACAAGAAATACTATGTTTCAAGACATATTATTGTTTGCTTTCTCAATGGGTTTGGTGTTAATCTCAATCATGCAATATTCGATAAAACTATTATTATTCACGCTAAAATATTCGAGTCTTTGTAATTCTAACCAATCAACAGCGACCAATGCAATTGTTATAATTTGAAAAATAAAAAATAAAATTAAAAGTTAAAGTATGAATCTATGCTGTCCTTAAATCGCAATCTACCTCTTGCATTCACATAATTATTCACGCTAAAATATGATTGTTTTGTTGTCATCTCAGTTTTATTTTCAATTAATTTCCTTCACAGCCTAACACATTAAGGTAAAGATAAGAGTGTTCCTTCTTTTTCCTTGAAAATCAAATATCATTGATGAGCATCAATATTTTAATAATCTCATCATCCTTATGGAATATGAGTTGCCTTTAACTTTGGAGCAATTCCAGCATGAATAAAGAAAAAGAAAAAGTCATTGGTGGACCTACCTGTTTTCTGAGTCTTTAATACAATTATAATTTAGTAATATTAATGAAGTTTCTTTTTATACTTAAACATTAAGCAGAAAATGCATTTAGTCGGTGTCCTTTTCGCTATTCCTATCCCCCGTGAAGCAACCCATATACTCCAAATCTTTTTTGATATATTTTCATTCCGCCTATAAGCTCACTCTCTGCATTTGCTCACAATCAAGAAACACTCGGCTATTATTTTTCTGACTTATACCACAACTGATCCCTATTTCCTTCATATCCCTCTCTACTCAGCCTCCCTTAAACTCCTCCTTTTCTACATTTTTCTGTTTTCTTCTCCTTCACCCACTCCTGCACATCTTTTTTTTTTTTTGCTAAAAGAATTCTTTTGAGCAGAAACCACATCGCTTGATTTTTCACTCCTCTCCAATTCTCTTATTCACCCCCTTTTTTATAAACCAAAAAAAAAAAAAAAAAAAAAAAAAAAACTCTCTCATTTTCTTTGTTTCTTGTTTAACCAAAAAAAAAGTGTCTGTTATTGTCTCTGTTTTAATTTCATTTGCTTTCATCTCTATTCACCCTTTTTTTTTTCTATAAAAATAAAATTAAAAAAATCTCCCATTTTCTTGTTTCTTGTTTAACGAAAAAAAAAAAAAAATTGTTGTTATTGTCTCTGTTTTATTTCATTTCTTCTTTCCTCTTATTTTCAAATTAAAAAAAAACATTTGAAGAAGAAAGGAAAAAGGGTTGAATGGTCGAAAATGCCGGGGCTATCGCGGGTATTGTGAGTGCTGTTCTCGATGTTGGCAAGTGTTATGTCCTGTTCAACCACAAGAGCAACTTAAGAAATCTCGAAACAGAAGTTGGGAAGCTGAAGCTTGCAAGAGGTAAAGTGAAGGGTATGGTTGAGTTGCTAGAAACAAAGCGGAAAAGATTGAAGAGACTGTTGAATGTGGTAAGTGATGTAGACTCCATCGTTCCTGAAGCAGAGACGTTGATTAACGGGAGAGCAAACGTCCGATGTTTCAACTTGGGAGCCCGTTACAAACTGCGCAGGAAAGCATCGAGAAAGGTGGAGGATATTTCTCAACTCCTGAAGCAACAAGAAGCATTCGGCGATCGGGTTTCCCGCCCTATCATTCATGAAGATACGAGGCTTATATTGAATAAAGACTACTTGGCCTTTCAATCACGATCGTCCACTTTGGAGGATGTATTGAAGGCATTAAAAGAGGCCGAGGTGGACATTATTGGGGTTCATGGGATGGGTGGCATCGGTAAGACCACCCTGGTCAAAGAAGTTGTAAGGCAGGCGAAGGCAGACAAGCGATTTGATAAGGTGATTTTTGTAGAGGTAACTGACACTCCGAACATAGAAAAGATACGAGAAGAAATTGCAGATAACTTAGATTTGGAATTGGATGATAAGAAGACTGAAACTGGAAAAGCAAATAAGTTATTTGCACGATTGAAGGAGGTGAAGACAATCCTAATAATTTTAGATAATATTTGGGATGAGCTTGATCTGGAGAAACTAGGAATTCCTGTTGGCGAAAATCATAAGGGATGTAAACTATTGTTGACAGCAAGGGATCGAAACGTGTTGGACAGGATGGGTTCAAAGTCTTTCTCGATTGACGTTTTGAAGGAAGATGAAGCTTGGAACTTGTTCAGAAAGATGACAGGTAAAAACGTCTTTTCCTCGTACAATTTTATTGATTTGTCACAATTTTTAATACTACGTTATAGATTTCACTCATTTCAGAGCTCCCCAGATCTCTAAAGAAAGTTTTATTCATTTAAATTTTGTAACACATAAACATAATACTTGCTGTTTTAGTTTACTTGATTGGATCAAATTTTTTTTTTTTTTTTGAAGTAATAATAACATGAAAAATAGTTCAATTTCACCGATATACTCGTTAACTATAGCCTTGATATATAAATATGTATACCAAAAGTTTTATGTGAATAACATGAAAAAATGTTCAAATTTCACCCGTTTACTCGTTAAAGAGGACCATCTTAAGCCTTAAACACTTCGTAAGCAGCAACTGGAAGCCACATGCACTTCTATTCCGCCACCTAAACTTTGTATCATCACTGTTTCAACTGTACAAAAATTGAATGAATGATCATTAAAGAGAAAGTCACAAGATGATAAGAAGCGCCGATGAATATTGTGTCAGTGATTTTATACAAGAAAAGTTGAAAGAGATATTTTGAAATTAAGTGCTATTTATTGATATATTTAGATATACTAACAATTTTGAATAAGAATTATTTAGAATGGGGTGTTTGATAAAAAAAAAGGAGAGAAATAACAATATCACTCAATTTTTTGCTTTTTATATAGGTTTTTATAGCAATGCTTTGGAGAAATAACAGTATATTCCTTTCGTTGAATCTTCAATTAGTTTCCTCTAGCCGTTTGAAATTATTCTTTAAGATTTTAGTATTTATTTGATATTTTAAAATTTTGTTGTAAAACAAAGTCTTTAATTGCATATAAATTATAATGTACACTTCGAATCATATAATTATATATACAACACTTTAAAATATATATAAGAATGCTATTTAGCATAGGTATTTTTTCTTTTATGCAAGTCTTATTGTTGTTAGACCTTAGCCCTTTTGATCCAAATGGCCCTGTCTCTGATGAACTTTTATATATAAATATCAACACCAGTTCATGCATCAATATTATATGATCCCGTAATAATATATATTTTCATTATTTTGTCCTTTTAGCAGTGTTTTCAAATTATGCGGTCGAAAATATTCTCAAATATTTAACAAACAAAAGATATATTTACTTTTTATATGTCAAACAATAAATTTCAGAATTGATTTTGTAATTTATTCTTAAAGAATTCTAAATTAATTAACATACTTTATACAAATTTATCTTTGTACCACCTTGATTTATAATTCTTATTCCTCTTGTAGGTGAAGTTGTTGATATGCGTGAGTTGCAATCTCTGCCGAATGATGTGTGCAAGGAATGTGGTGGTCTACCTATTGCCATTGTTACCGTAGCAAGGGCATTAAAGAGCAAGAGACAACTATCTCAATGGAGGAAGGCCTTACAAGAATTGAGAAGTCCTTCCCCAACAGAGTTCAAAGGAGTGCTGAAAGAGGCATATTCAAAGATAGCATTGAGTTACAATTATTTACAAGGTGAGGAACACAAGAAAGTTTTTTTGCTATGTAGTATAATGACATATGATGCTTCCATTTCAAATTTGTTCAAATTCGTTATGGGTTTGAATATACTTGAAGGAAATAATCTTAAAATAGAAGAAGCTCGAGATAGACTAGATGCGCTTCTCCATGAACTCAAAGAATCTTGTTTATTACTTGATTGTTCTTCAAGTGAACGATTTTCTATGCATGATGTTGTTAGGGATATTGCTATAACAATTTCATATAAAGACCATCATGTACTTACGGAGAGAAATGATGTTGAAGATGAATGGAAAAATGTGGATATACTCAAAAAGTGCACCACAATCTCCTTAGCTAGAAGTGATATTATTAGTAAACATTGGGCTGAAGGTTTAGAATGTCCAGAACTTGAATTTTTCTATATGAAGTATTCTTCTTTCAAATTTCCAGAGAGATTTTTCTCAGGGATGGCAAAGCTCAAAGTTTTAAGTTTGAATTTTCTTCCATCACCAATTATTCTTCCAATAGGCCTTCAAACATTGTGTTTGGATAGTAGCGAAATTGAAGAAGTTGCTATTATAGGGGAGTTGAAGAAACTAAAGATCCTTAGCTTGAGATATTGTTATAATATTAAGCAATTGCCTGGAGAAATAAGTCAATTAATTCAACTAAGGTTCTTAGATTTAAGCAACTGTGCGAATCTTCATGTTATCACAGCAGATGTCATATCAAGCTTAGTCCTATTGGAAGAATTATACATGAGAGGATGCCCTGTTCTATGGGCAGTCGGAGGACCCAATGTTGAAAGAAATAATGCTAGTCTTGAGGAGTTGCTTCATTTGTCTTGTCTCACCGCTCTGGAAATAGATATTGAAGATGAGAAGATTTTGCCTAAAGGCTTTTTCTCAAAAAAGTTGGAAAGATACAGTATATCAGTTGGAGATGCGTGTCATTGTGATATTGAGTTTATTGAAAACAAGCGTTCAAGAAGAATCAAAATGAAGCTTAATTCTTCCATTTGCTTGGAGGAATTGCAAGGGATCAAGAATGTTGAATCCTTATGTTTAGATAAATTGCAAAATATCAAGAATGGTCTTCAAGAATTAGACAATGATGGTTTTTCACAATTGAAATATCTCCATGTGAAAGGTTGTGATAAATTGACAATTCCTCTTTCTCTTCCCCTTTTTCCACTGCCAATTCTTCCACAACTCAAGGACTTAAAGTGGAAGATTGCAAGAATGTGAAGAGATTTTTGCTATTGAAAGAGAGGTAATGTCAACAATGGCAGCGTTAAGATGGAGTTCTTACGTGTCCTAACTCTGAACATCTTCCGAGGCTTGCAAGCTTCTGCTCAGAATGACGACAACATCACATCACAATTGAGACATGATGAATTGACACTGTTTGACGAAAAGGTAAGCTACCTGTACTTTTCTATTATATGTAAACAATTTTTAGTTCTTTACTTTATCTGAGAAAATGTTGGATAAACAATTAACTTTTACTGCAGCTTGTTTTCCCCACTTTGGAGGCTTTAGAGCTTGAATGTATAGGATCTGGAATGATTTGGTGCAGCCACCTTCCAACATTCATGACATCATCCTATCATAATTTGACAAGCTTGACCGTGCTGGGCTGTGGAAATCTAAAATACATATTTCCAACTTTATGTTGAAAGCTTTAAGCACCTCCAACACCTTGAGATTTGCGAATGCAGAGATTTAAGGAGATTGTTGCTAATGGAGCAGAAGCAACTCCTAAGTTTGTCTTTCCACAGGTAACATTTTTAAACTTGACAACCTACCAAAACTTACAACTTTTTATCTTGGAAGACATCTTTGGAATGGCCGTTGCTAGAGAATGTACAGGTTTGTGATTGTAAAAAAGTAAAGATATCACTTCAGAATGTGGTAGCTCCAATGAAAACAACACGGAGGCTCAATTCGATATTTCAGAGCCCGCCCTCTTCTTGATTGAAAGGTAAGTATCTATTTTCTTTAATTAATGAAAAAGAAAATAAACAAAAAAGAATCATTAATAAATTTAGATATATGCTTTCTATCTTTTTATTTTCTTTAACAAAATTTTGATATAAGAAAAAAATAAATTTGTAGCTTGATTTGGACAAATTTATTATGAAAAATTAGATCATCCAATATAAATATGAACATTCTCCTCCAATTAACCACCGGAAACAGTTTTTCAAACCAGGCATGATTTAAATTTAAAAGAACATTGTTTTGCCATGTCAGTTTGTCTTTGGTGTTCAATTCAACATTCGTTTCCCCTCCTGTTCTTGTTAAAATTATAAACTATTGGAATATTAGTGTTTAACTCCAACTTGCTGTTGTCAACTGTACACAGATCAACCCCGATTTGAAGGAATTGATAGTGGATGCATGATTCCACTTGGAATCCTTGAAAGATTTAACAACCTAGAAAAGCTCAAACAATGGGGATTCAGACGAAGTATTATTCGCATGTAAAGAAGAAGAGAAACGTATTGAAATACCAATGAGATAAAACATTTAGACTGGATCATCTTCATCATCTAAAGTACTTGTGGAAAGAAGGCTGCAAGCTGGATCCTGTTCTTCTGTTTCAAAATCTTACCCATCTGACAGTAATAGATTGCCATAAATAGAGATGAACTTAATAACACCTTCCGTTGTCAGAAGTTGGCGACAAATTGAGGGAAATGACAATCAAAGAATGCAGTATGATAATAGAATGGTAGGAGATGAGAGAGTAGCAGCAAAAGATGAGATTGATTTCCCCAAATGGAGTCACTGTCACTTATGGGTTAAAAAATCTTATGTGCTTTCACTCTGGGAATTACATCTTAAAATTCCCATCTTGAAAATTAAATGTGATGAATTGCTACAATATGAGACTTTCTGTCAGCGGTCTTGAGAGCACCAAAGCTACAGAAGGTAGTGATAAATTGAATGCAGTGGGAGGGTGATCTTAATTCAACTATACAAGTCTACAAAAATGCGTACGTATTTATTTACTTAAGAAAATAACTTTCCTTTCAGTTTTTAATAGCTGTTTAGATACCATTAGCAAAAGAATTTGAATTACATCTGTTAAAATCTAGGTAACTTTTTTTCCTAAAGACTCACTTTAAAGTTCATAAGTAATTCACATTTTATATTTCATAATGATAAGAAATTGTAAAATAATTAAAAAGGTCAAAAAAAAAAAAAAAAAAAAAATCATTGTCATAACTTCCATGCACAGAGGAGCAGGGTTTTCATGCATTTTTGCTTTTAATTATTTATTTATTTTTCCCCTTATCTATCAATATCTCTGTCAGTAATTCTGTCTTGTCTATTTCAAAAATCATTCATAGATAGAACAATAAGTCCGTTTGGGCAGTGTGTACGTGAAGAATTCTATCAGTTTCAAAATTATTCAATATGAATCTCCCATTTTGAACGATAAAATAGTTGCATAATGCTAAAAAAACAATATGCCATTTTGGTACCAAACGTTTTATTTTTTTATTTTTTTTTGTCTTCTAATGGCTGAATTAGTAGACAAGTTATTACTATGTAGGTATTATTATTTAAACCAACCCACCCTCCAGTTTGGATAAACATTAAAAAAAAAAAAACCAAAAATCTTGGAAAGTCCCACGAACACATTACTGTAAAGAATTTTTGAAAAGGAGTACAATTTTGGGGCAAATTATCCTAAAGCTCAGCAAAAAGCCAAATTCATCTATGAAGGAAATCCCTAGTATGACCTTAAAATTTGGACCAAAACCTTCCAAAAACTCTGTAAGTGGCTAAATAAATTTATTATTTCATTGAGAGCTTTATCAAACACTTAGTGAGCCTTGCTTTGACATACAAAAATCAAGTATAGCTAACAAAATCAAAGCATCTACCCAATTCTAAGACGGAAGCTTGTAACTAATTATATGTATGTAATATGAATTAAAAATAAGAAGCAAATACTAGATAAAAAGCCTTACAAACTGAGATGGTGGATCTTTGAGAGATATAAAAACGAGTATGAGCATAAAAAGGGGGGCGTAAAGTGATCACTTTCCATATAATATTAGTTTTAGATGTAATGATGAGACCAATGGCAATTGCCTAGTTACGTTTCATGGTATTGAATTATATTTTGACTTCTAAATTTGCATTTCAAGTATATATTATTGTTTTTATTACCAAATGAATTATGTTATATCAGCTTAACTAACTAAGGCTCACCCACCAAATAACAACAAACTATTACTAATACAACAAAACATAAATTTTAACATGATTTATATGATTTATTTTCAGGGTAACTTTGACCGAAGCCATTGACATTAATTGGAAAGGACATCAAGCAAATATGCCGAGGCCAAATTCCAGATGAACCTAAGTTGATCAAGTGAAAGCTTTGAGATTTGTAAAGACGAATCAAGAAGCATTCCAGTTGAAATCCTTGAGACGTTTCACAACCTTAAAAGCCTTAACTAAAAGCAAGTTCATACAAAGAGCTGTTCTCATGTGGAAATGATATAAATTGTTGGGACATTCACACAGTTAAAAAATCTGGAAGTCCTTCATTGTCACAATTTGACCACTCTAGAGCCATCTTCTACATCGTTTGAAAATTTAGTCACTCTGGAAGTACAATATTGTATTGGATTGAGGAGCTTATTGACATCATCAACAGCAAAAAGTCTGGTGCGACTCCAAAAAATGACAATAAACAAGTAAAATGCTTACAGAAGTAGTAGCAAATGGGGGAGATGTAGAAAAAGTGTAGTTTTCAGGAAACTTGAGAGTTTGTCACTTGATTGTTTAGAAAATCTCACAAGCTTCTGCTCTGGGAATTACACTTTCAAATTCTTGTCTTTGCAAGATTAATTGTGCATAATTGTCCCAAGATGGAGACTTTCTCTGGAGGAGTTTTAAGCACACCGAAGTTGCAGAAAGTAAAAAGACACGGGATCTTCATAGATTTCCGGCTGCTGATGTTTTTGGTGTTGGGTTAGATCTCAATACAACCAAAAACAATTACAAAAAAGGTACGTAATTATTTACTTGGAAAGTCTGTGTTTTATTTTTGTTGATTTGATTACCTTCACATCTAACCACTAGAATTTTTAATTGTACTGACTAAAAATCTAAAATAATGGTTTAGACTCAACACTTGTCAACCCCATGGCCTAGTCTTTATTTTTTCTTTACTGAATAATGATCTCAATGTGCATTTATTTAATTGAACCTAAAATTGATATCTTTAATTAAATACATATTATTACTTATTTTATTAAGAACTTATTTTAAATATATATTGTTGGTTTTTCATTATAATTTGTATAAAAATCTTTATTTAAAATATTAATATTTTATTACTCCAACATCTCTCAATCCTCTCTTCTTTCGCTTAGGGCTATAAATTTAGAAAACATAACGAATAGTTATTATATTCGTTTTGAACACACATATAATTATCGTGATAATGTTGAAGTAGGTTAAAAAATCACATCATGTTTTTTATTGTCATTGTCAAGTAGGCTAAAAATATCTGTATAATTATAAGAATTCAAAGATGAAGCATCGGACAAGTTGATTAGGGAAGCCAGCTAAATTATCCATTGCGGTCTCACATGTTATGGCCCTAATTAAATTCCCCAATACTTAAATAATTCAACCATTTCATAAGCTTACATAAGATGTCAGTTAGATTCAATTAATAAGAAGGCCCATGTAACAGAGAGAGTTGATAAAGGAAAGCTTCACTCTCTCGGCCCCCTTGGAATTGTTTTGCTTTTATCTTTCCTTCTTCAATTGTGACGTTGCTCTAAAATTTTTTACATCATTTCATCACTTGAGGTTGAATGGTGGAAACAATTATTTTACTTCTTAATTTATATACATTAAAAGAATATTATTGAAATAAGAATTTTGAATGTAGGTCGTTTTCCCTGATATGAAGGTCCCAAAATTGAGTTCAACGTTATTGGACATCCGCATCCGACGTCAATGTCTTCCTCTATCGTTAAATCGCACTTTATTTTGTTCGGTTTTCATCATCTGAATTATGTATTTCCATCTTCTCTAGTAAAATGTTTTGAACACTTCAACAACTTGAGATAAGATGGTGTCAGGTTTTAAAGGAGATTGTTACGATGGAAGAAGTAGAAACAACTTCTACGTTTGTCTTTTCACGAGTAACCACTTTAATACTTGAAAACTTATCAGAACTTACATCTTTCTGTCTTGGAAACATA